TGAGGCGGGCGGCGTGGCGGCGGCGGGCCGCGGGGAGGGCCCTGTCGCTGTGAGGGCGCGGATCCCCGCCGAGCTGGGCTTCCCTGCAGCCCCGCCGTGTACCCGCAGCCCCGGCGCCGGGAAGGGCCTCGGGGTGGGCAGCGCCCCGGCCCCGGCTGCCATCCCGGGGGGCGCAGGCCTGGCGAGCCGAGGCCGTAGCTTGCTCCCTGTAGAAGCGGGGTTTCTCCGGTGGCGGGGGTGCAGGCTTCACCGGGCCTGGTGCGTTTTAGCCGTAGAAATCAAGAGGTGAAAGGTGGCCTTCATAAGGAACTTAAAGCGCAGGGCTTGTCTTGCTCCTGAGAGGTAGCCAGAACTGTAGCGCTGTCTCTTTCTTTGCCATCTTAGCTTTATGGTGTTCCTGCAGTTGATTTTTCTCCTCCTGAGGTGGATTGGACCGAACGCCTGCCTCGCTGTAGTGATTAATGCTAACTCTCTGTATTCACATACTCGCCAACCTGCCCGTGTTAAACTTGAAAGCACAAAATGTTGACGTATGCATTTGCATTTCACAAAGCACATGGGAGAGGAAGGTCTTACCTCGGCCTGGTGTAATCTGTGAAAATCATTAAAAATATTTTTTTTTTTTGCTTTGTTTAAATTAAGGGTCGATCCTTTCTCCAAAAAGGACTGGTATGATGTCAAAGCACCAGCGATGTTTAATATCCGAAACATCGGGAAGACGCTTGTCACCAGGACTCAAGGAACTAGTGAGTAGTGGGGTTTTATGCAGTAGAAGGAGGTGTATTTATTCCATGTGCTAGCTCCAAATGAGACTGGATTCAAGTAACTGCTGACAAATAGTTTTTGCTTATAATATTGCGAACCTGGAAGTTGGTTTGTGTTTTCTTGGGTTTTTTTAAAGCGCATCTAACTTAATTGCTTGATTCGAGTGAGTTGTCTTCAGTTGACAGAGTTGTTTAAATAAGTGAGCTTAGTTGCAGGGGACCTAATGTGGTGTGGTCCTTGTTTGTACAAGAGCACCAAACTATGGATACTATAGGGCAGGACGTGCCTGAAGTTTCTAATGAACTGCTGTTGTGGTAACTTTATGAGTTTAAGGAAAGTTAAGAATTAAGGAGTCGTTCTGATTATCACAGAGGAAGATGTGGAGACAGTGTTACAGGAGACCTTGGTCATGATAGCATCATAAAGGCCATCATGTTAGAAGAGACTAAAATTTGAAGCTTTTAGGTGAAGAGATTTCTGTTAATGGGTGCATGTGTACATGTATCACTGAGTGGTAAAGATTTTTTTATATGATCTGGCAAACCTCAGAAAAAGGAAGCGCCTGTTAAAAAAAAAGGATTATCTGGATAGAGGTGACAGTATTTTTGGAAGGTTAGCTGTGTAGAATGGCCAAATAGTTGCATTACACTATTCTGGTCGCACTTAAAGTTATGAAGATGATTTTTTTGAACTGTATACATGTAAAATAAAGGTCACTGTCAACCGAGTATGAGCCAGTCGGTGTTAAAATTGCTGATTGTTAGAGGTAGAGCTGTGAAATAACCGTACTTAGGTGTGTGTTGCTGCTTTACCTCTGCTGAGTAAGCGTAGCTTTTTATGTTTATATTTTCATTATTGTTCAAAATACTTTGTAACCCCTTTCTAAAAAAACCACAAAACTATTACACATGCTGGAGTCTGCAGTATAGTGTTAACTTGTGTTCAGCATCTGATATAATTGTCTTTAAAAGATTCTTCACAAAGTTAACAAAATATGGGATTTGGTTCTATGAGTTGATTTGCTCTTTTTTAAGATACATAGAAGTTTTAGAGCTGTGAAGTTGGTAGCATCACCTACTATTAGAAAATGTCAAACGGAAAATCAGTATCTGATTTGAATAATGCTTTTCTAATGTTAATAAGAGGTAGTTTATTTTGTTTCATAATACAGAAATTGCCTCTGATGGACTGAAGGGCCGCGTGTTTGAAGTGAGCCTGGCTGACCTGCAGAACGATGAGGTTGCCTTCCGTAAATTTAAACTGATAACTGAGGATGTTCAGGGCAAAAATTGTCTGACCAACTTCCATGGAATGGACCTCACCCGGGATAAAATGTGCTCCATGGTCAAAAAATGGCAGGTATGTACAGAACAAGGTCTGTACTGTTGCTCGTGCCTTTTGGAAAGGAGGTAGTGACTGATGCGTTGTAAAGTGATGCTTGAAGTGGCATCAGCAGGCATTCATGAATGTTAGGGGCGTGGTTTGGAGAAACCTGTCCACCACATTGATGGTAAATGACCATTTGTTTTCTAGACAATGATTGAAGCCCATGTAGATGTCAAAACTACCGATGGTTACCTACTGCGCCTCTTCTGCGTGGGTTTTACGAAGAAGCGTAATAACCAAATCCGCAAGACCTCGTATGCCCAGCACCAGCAGGTTCGACAGATTCGCAAGAAGATGATGGAAATCATGACCCGAGAGGTCCAAACCAATGACCTGAAAGAAGTTGTCAATAAGCTGTAAGCTTTTGCTGTGTTTTCTTTTTTTTCCCCTACAGTTTAAATAGTTGTACATTGGTTGGTTGTTACTGAACACTTAGAGAATCTGGCGTTTCACATACGGTATGGTAGGGACCAGGCAAGGTGCTTCTCATGTGGAAAAGCTAATGTGCCTTTTTTTTAATGCTTTCTTAGTTGCTGCATCATATTTTACTTCCATCAACCATCATGTTTGCGTAAATGTAAAATCAAGCTTTCCAGAGATTTTTTGATTCCTATTTCTGCAGACTAAAGTTGTAATTCTGATTGGCTGGGGTTGAATTTTCTGGGCTCTTCTGAGAGAAGGAAGTTTTCCAAAGTATGGTCTTTACTTCCAAAGATTTGATTGCAAATTTGCTCTCAAAATGAGCACACTTGCACGATAGCCTTTCTAAAATTGCAAGGAAAGTATGTCTTACAATCTAAACATACTTAGAGAAAACTGTCAAAGTGAAGGTAATATTGGTGATGTGAACTCACATATTCTTAGGAACTATTTTTGAGCATGTGTTGCTGATGGAAGAGGCAGGCACAGTTTTTAACGTTGTGTTACTGACCCGTCCTCTGGTGTCTCAGGATCCCAGACAGCATTGGCAAAGACATAGAGAAGGCCTGTCAGTCCATTTACCCTCTCCATGATGTCTATGTCCGCAAGGTGAAGATGCTGAAGAAGCCCAAGTTTGAATGTAAGTCAACTACTGCAAACTTGCGTTCTTGGAGAAGGATGTGGGAAGCTTCTCATTTTTAAAATGTGTTTGGTTTTGGGTTAAGGTATTAAAGCGGCATTATAAGCTTAAGTAGCTGGAGTTGTAAAAATAAAAAGGCTTGTCCTTCTAGTCTTAACATTAGGCTTTCAGGCTTGAAAGCGAGTCAGTGATTGTTCAGTGTGGAGCTTTTTTTGAATTCTTGCTGAATGTTTAAAGGCTTTGGCTTGGGAATGAATGATGACAATATGTTTTGGTCCCAGATGACGTGGAATGATTCTATTTTCCCATTTTCTGACATTCCCATATAACGCAGTAGCAGGTTCTTGACTTAGCTCTTTGTAAAAAAAAAAAAGGTTTAATTTGCCATTTCATTATGTAGCACTTATTTCACTGCTTGTTTGGGTTTTTTTTCTGACTGTCTGTTAATGCATCAGCATCTCCTCGCATGAGCTTTCTGGAATTATCTTACCTATGTTAGATGCTCTGGTGGTATAATCTGTGTACGATGAACAATTCAGTAATGTAAAACTGTTTTAAATAGGTGCATCTCTCACTGTTCACAATAACTTCTTTTTTTAGTGGGCAAGCTGATGGAACTGCATGGTGAAGGTGGTGGTGCTGGAAAACCTTCTGGGGATGAGGCGGGCACCAAAGTAGAGCGAGCTGATGGATACGAGCCGCCCGTGCAAGAGTCTGTCTGAAACTAAAAACCAATTGGAAAATAAAAGTTTTAATATACAGAACTAACACTTGGTTGCCTGTATTGCTGCTGGACAATATTGGTGCTGGATACGTGGCTGGTTTTTGCAAGGAAAACCTGTTGTCTTGGTTTAAAAAAAAATGAAAAAAAAATGTTTTGGAGATGCATTTTTCATGATTGGTGTTGTGAGATGGGTGGAAGAAGGCGGGTTGTCCTTTTTTGGAAGGTGGAAAGTACAATACCAAGGATTGTGTTTGTTGGTTTTTCCCAGTAATTTTTGTCCTCCCAAAAGAAATCTTGTGGGCGTGTGCAGAGGTTGTAGCTTCTGTTACACTGGTGAAGGGCGCTTCGAAGAGGAGTGCTGTACGGGGCAAATGAGGTGCCACTCAGGGAAGCTTAGTATTTCAGAATTCTTTATTAAATAGGGATTTGTCAGGCTATTGACTTGAGAATTACGTGTGTGTATGTTGAAGCTTTTGGGTGGTAATTGATACGGCCTCTCATGGGACAGATTTGGTCCTGATAACTCAAAAGGTGTTGAAAGATCTTTAAGTTGTGAATTTGATGATGGGAGCAGTGCTCGTTTTGAGCAGTGTAGAAAGGCAGAATGTGCTCGAGTAGGGTTGTGTGGAGTTTTATAACCTCTGTCAGAACTGAGGGGTAACCGTCATCCCAGTTGAAGAACCGGTGGAACTTCTTGGGGGAAGGGGTGGGGAATTCTACAATAAAAGGGCAATGGTCTCTGTTCTGAAAATAAAGCACTTAAAATTACCCAGCAAATTGCTTAAAGTGCTTTTTCTGTTACCTGATAACAAATACTGGTTTTGCTGCTTGCTTGACTTACTTAACACTTGCTTAGAAAATGTAGTGTGTTTTTCTGGCTAGTATGAGGAGTGTTTTGCCCTGTCGATGTGTTTTGTGTACATCTGTGCAACAAACCTAAAGGTTGTGCTGTTACACTGTTGGCAAGTTTGTGATGTATAACCTGAGAACACAAGGAATGGTACCGACCTCTTTGGGGAGGTCACAGAGCGTGGTGGCTCTGCAGTCAGCTGGGCAATTGCTTGGGACAAGAAGTGGAGGAAAGTAATGAAATGTTACTGTTCTGGCACAGATACCCTGGGGGAAAAGTAGAGGGGCACCTCCCAGCAGTTTTACCTTGTTCTAGTTGGTAACTCTGGTTTGGAACAGATAATATGCAAAACGAAGGGGTTGTTCTCTCATCCTGGATTTAGAACACTGCAGGTGATAATGATTTCACGTTGTAATTCCCAAGTTATTTAATGATGGCATTTGGAATAGCCCATTTGGCTATTCCAAATAATGTTTGGGTAACTATATTGGATTATAAATAGAGGCTGCTTAGAAGACGGCAGGTGATAATGATTTCATGTTGTAATTCCCAAGTTATTTAATGATGGTATTTGGAATAGCCCATGACTTAATATTCGGGAAACTATATTGGATTGTAAATAGAGGCCTGCTTGTTCTGCTTTTTCCAGTTTGTGTCACGGAGGGGCAGGGAGTGCTCAGAACTTTTGCGCTGAAACAGGAGAGAGGAATAGTGCTGCTTTTAATCTGCTTGTTCTTATCATCTGTACTGCTGGGGCAGGGGGTGTTCTCCTTCAAGAGTCCCAGTCGTATTTTTTTAAGCCATAAATTGCACCAAATGCCCCTTTGTTTCTCTAACACAAATCAGAACTGTTCGGTGGAGTTAGAAAAACAAACCATGGTGAGGGTGAAAAATCCTTCAACCTACTACAGTAAGTTTCAATCCAGGTGTGTTTCTCTAACACAAATCAGAACTGTTCGGTGAAGTTAGAAAAACAAATCGTGTTGAGGGTGAAAAATCCTTGACCCTACTACAGTAAGTTTTAATGCAGGTGTGTACATATATATATATTTATGTTTGTGTGCGTGTATTCAAGCCCTGCATTAGAGTTAAGATGTGTCAGAGCTTTCTAGCAGAGGGTGCTTTCTAGTTGGCTGTATTTTCTCTGCCTGGCAATATTTCAGTGGAACACATCCCCAAGGGGGTGATCCCCTGGCACCACTCTCGGGTGGTGGGCCTGAAACACCTGAGCCCCAAGGCTTGAATGAACTGTGAGAGCTGTCAGGATTCTTGTGAGGTGGTTGGACTGCTTCTAAAGGGATGTGATAGCACAAGACCATAAAAATACCATCATGACTTAATTATAAAAATTTTATTGGTTAAATACATTCTTAATTTACAGAGGTACCATAACAAACTTACTGGACTTTAACAGAGATTTATTTAGGACACTGTTAAATTGTACACAGGACAAAGATGTCTTCCTGAAGATATTTTCAGAGGGTGGGTCAAACAGAAAATATTTTGATAAATGAGGCTTTTATTATCACACTGATGTATGGGGATGTAGCTGAATTTCAAGGTTACAGCTGAAATTTGCTACTACATGGCAGTTCGCATTTGTACTCCACCTCGTTCTTGGGTTGGTTTGTTGTTTTTTAGATTGTGTACTGTACACCTTAGGGATATTAGGCTGTGATCCGTAGGCAGTTTCACGGTGATACTAGGCATCAAGTCTTAAGAAAATCCCTTCCTGTGAAAGCCGAGCATCTCTGACTCCTCTGGGTTTTAATAAATAGGCTCGTTTCAGCTGCCTGCAGTACCGTAGGCAGCCTGTAGGTGGCACTCCTTGCCCGGAATGTAAGGCTTTGCTGCTCTTCCTGCCCTGCCCAACAGGGAGGAGATGGTGACCATAAAGCAGAGTGGTCTCACCTACTGCCAGGCACTGACCTTCAACATTCAGTGGAAGTTACAAAAGCAACTGGTCAATACATAGGTATAAAAACAGGGAAGAGGAAATTGGGAAAAAAAAATATAAAAAATTCAGTTCTACTTCTGAGACTTGTATCAAAATCTTAGAAAACTGTCAGAGAAAAACAGTAAGTAAACATCACACACTTGAGCCTCGTCCACCATGACAAAGATGCGGTGTGTTTTTGCAGGACCTGGGTAGTGTGGTGGTTGGAGGGGGCTTTGCCTGGTTCTGCTGTTGTGCCCCCGCTGTGCGCACGGGAGGGTCAGGAGTTGTGCCGGGAGGAGGTCATGGTGGAAGAAGCCTGTTCCAATAGGGTGAGCCACTGAAGGTTTATGGGTGAACAGTTTTGAGTGGGGGCTTGCAGGAGTCGGGAAAGCTATCTATTTATCTATCTAGCTATCTATCTATATTTGTTTCCTTGGATTTCTCTAGAAGGAGATGGCTGTTTTATTGGAATAAATAATAAGAAACCTTGGCATCTCCTGCCAGGAAAGCTTGGAGAGTGGGAAGGGTTGTCCTCGGAGGTGGACTTCGGTTAAAGTTCCACAGGAGCTCTGGATAGGCTTGTTGGGAATGGTAAAGCAGTAATAGCTCTATGAATTGTTGTGTTTCCATCTTTCTAGAATAGCACATAATTTATAATTGTTTTAATAATGTTAATCCCCTTCATGAAAGTAGAAATCCAGTTCTCAGCTCATTAAAACTGCATGATCTTCATACCCCAGTTGTGCAAATGGTGTGGCTGCAGGTTAAATGTCCAGCACTTCATGTTTATGAAGCTTCTAGAGGAAAAAAAAAACAACCAGAGGACTAATGCCTGTATCTATATATGCAAATACTGTGGCGTAACAGCGACTCTGCAGAGGGAAGTGGTGCTGAGGACCTCATGTCTGCTGCGTGTTCCTTGGACTTGCTTCAGGTGAGCTCTGCTACCCAGACTGGAGAACCATTCCCTGCTGTGGGGGAGTCCTTCAGTTCAGTTTTGGGTGTCAGCTTGTGTCTACCTGCTATGATGGTCACCAAAGTGCTGGGCATGGGGAGAGGAGGGCCACCCTCACCCGCTTCCTTAGGTACCCATCTAGATGCATCCTGGTCTTTTTGGATATATATTAGATTATTACTATAAACTTAGATATTGGGAAAAAAGTCTTTACTGTGAGAATTGTGAGATGCTGGAACATGTTGCTTAGAGAAGTTCTGGATGCTCCATCCATGCAAGTGTTCAAGGCCAGGCTGGATGGGGCTTTGAGCAACCTGGTCTGGTGGGATGTGTCCCTGCCCATGGCAGGGAGTTGGAACTAAGTGATCTTTAAGGTCTTTTCCAACCCAACCATTCTATGATAATGTGAAGCTACCTCAATCCTGTCTGTCTGAGTTTGTTGTTCAAGGCACACCACTGGTTTTTACTAAATGCCTTTGTTAGAGCTTCTTGAAGTAACCTCTTGCCAGGCGTGTTTTCCTTACGGCCTGGACAGACCATTTCTAATGCTGCTCAGGATAGTTGGTATGTGGTAACAAACTGAAAACTAATCTCGTGTCTGCTGAAAGCTAAAACCAAGGCTGCATAATATCCTTCATGTTAAGGCTAGGAATGGTGTTACTGAAGTATGTTCCAGTGCCCGAGTGACAAATGAAATGCAGACTGAGTGAAGACTGGCTTTCCACTTACGTGAAGAGGGTGGAGGGGCAAATAGTTGGAATAGTGCAGCTACTGCCTGGAGGGGATCTGAGAGAGCTCAGTAAGTGCTGCCTGTCACAGTAACTTCAGCTGGGGGACAGGGGTGCGACGGCGCTCGAACAACAGTAGAAATATCTAAACCTTGGGGAAGGGGGGAAGGCAAAAGATTCATACCAGTTTGAACATTATTTGTTAAGAGGCAAAATACTTTTGTGATCTTCCTGCATGAGCGGCCTGGGCTGAGAACAGAATAATACTACAGCAGGGGTTTGCTTCTGAGTTTTCCCTCTTACCAGTATTAGATTTGATATTTTTCTACTATGAAATATCAGTTATCTTCCTTATCCTCTAAGTCATAAAACAAGTGGATTCTACTTGTAATATGGAAGTCAAGCACTAATGAAACCCGATTACCAAACTTGATCTATATACTGAGTGCTGTAATTGTATCTTAAAAACAATTTTTTAAATTTGGATTTTTAAGAAGTTTTTAAAGAAGCCCAAAGAAGCTTACTTTATACAGACTTTGTGCATGATACATGTAATACCAGATAGTAAACATACTAGAATGCTATTTAAGTTAAAATGGTGTTGCACCACAGTATTTCCCTCGTCAGAGACAGCTAGAAGTCCTGCTTGTATTTGCTCTCAGAGCATTCATGAAGCATGACTACATACACTGTCACAAAAAGACTGAAATTTTCTTATTTGACTTCAAGACACTAGGATGACTGCCTAGAAAAAGTAGTGCAAAACATTGATAGTCAAAACACGTTGATGTCTTCGCTGTGCCTTTAGGATAGAAAACATTCCCTCCCACGTGCAGGGAGTACGAAGAGAGGCAACGCTTCACGGTGTTTTTAAAATCTGAACAAAGTTCTTGGGAAATATCCCAGACTTTCCTTGTATCTCTCCGCTCATCCAGTCCTCGTCCACAGATTCCAGCTCTGTTATTGTATCGCCCGCCTGGAAGAGGAGGAGTAAGGTGAGACACTACAGCTTTCCCTGCAATGTTAACGTGTGTGTAGCTCATGTTATTCAGAAGCAATTATTATCAATCAAATACAAGAGTCTCTCTTTGGTTGGTTATATTTCTTTGAGGTTCTTTGCCAAAACCAGCTGAAGCTTCTCTTAGGGTAAATACTAGTCTATCCTGAAAAAATCACCGTTTTTTGTAAGGAAAAAATAGCACTTCTGGATAACTGTGTTGCTTAAGCTCTCTAGTTAGGCAGGTATGTTAGAGAGCTGGCTCCCAAGCCCTCTGCCTTACTTCTTGTGTTTCCCTGCTCTGTCATGAGGGTTTCTTTTCTTAAAACATTTCAAATCTTTTATTTTTATCCTGCTCCAATTTATTCCCAATGTTTTTCAGCACTAGGAAACTTTCCTCTTTCCTTTAGAAACTTTCCTTTCCCCCAAAGGAAAGCAATCATCCAAGTAGCTCAGTGTGGCTGTTCAAAATAAACTGCAGCTCCTGGGTTTGATCCTCACCTCTGTTTTTGCTGTCCCCTGCCATACCCTCCATCTGAAGTACTCTCATGGCCCCGGCCCCTCTCCCACTACCTCTGTTTGCCTCTTCTGATCTAAAGCATCATCTCTCCTTTCAGCACTGCAAGGTGTAACGCTGAAACTAATTATTTTGTTAATTTTAAAAGAGAAAATAGTGTGTTCCAGCTGATAGAACACAATTTTGGGCCTGCTGTGAAAGTCTGCTGTTTCTTTCTTGGAAACTTGCTTTTGAGGACACAGTTACCTAAATCATATCTTTCAATCTACAAGGGCAAGCTGTTTCTTGTTCATGCTTCTTAGTATTATCTGGACATCCAGCAAATATTTCATTTCTTCCCTGGCTCCCATGGCAACTATGTGTTGTGCTGCCACATTTTTAGATTTTGCTGCACTAGGTGTCCTTCAGAGGCATGGCTGCTGGAGCACTGGCACTCTTATGATTATCTTCCTCCTCATGGCTGTCTTTCTAGTTTAAAAAAAGGCTCCCTTGACCCCCGCACCAACTGATCAAGAACTGAGTGTACTGCAAAGTAAGGTTTGTCTTGTCATGTTTACCAGATCAGAGAAGTCAGAGGAATTCTGCAACTCCTGACCTCTTTTCAATGTCTTCAGTGAACAGTTTTTTAGAGGGACTATTTATCAAATATGCTAATATCTATGTCTATTGTATGTGCTTTGCTCTTTCTTGTTCAAAGTCTATTTTCACAGTGGATAAGTCTGACTTTTTAGCATTCTTTAGGAGCATAAGACTTTTTGGAAAATTGGTCTAAAAGTGGTACTTACTTTGAAGGAAAGCTCATCTTCATTTTCTCCATGAAAATCATAAAGAGCTTTGGCTTTTCCTTTCTTTGCTCCTACAGACTGTGACAGCTCTGTCCTCGCTGCAGAACGTGAACAAGACAGGTTACTTGGATTGGAGCAAAATACATCTGTTTCTGTAGAAGTTTCCTGTCATTCTTGTGTTTTCTCCCCACTCGTGTGTCAAGTTATTACTGCTGCTACTTAGCAAATTCACTTTCCTACTGGAATAAAAACCTCCACTGCCCCCAGTTCATTTTACAGTACTAACATATTCTCAGGGTTCTGCTTCTAAGAGGAGGAAATTTAAAGTTCACTTACTTGAACTTTCCAATGGTGATATCTAATAAAAAGCTGTCTTTTCCTCTGTGTACTTGAAGTTGAAGCGGCACTTGGGGTGTGCTATTTGCCAGTTAGGTGGAATTTATTTCCTGTCAACTTTCACTCATGGTTTTACTTGCAAAAACTATGGGGAAAAAAATGTGATTTTCTGTGTCCTCTGTGCAGGTTTTGACTGTGTTCATTTGGGGACCAAACAAGCTTGAGGAGAGCAAGCAGCGCTAACTCCTTGCTTCAGCAAGGGCATTCCAGTAGTTCTGTACCAAGCCCCAGCAGTGGTCGTTATTTACAGCTCTACCAGAGCTGTTTCTCTCTTCAGCTGGGGGAGAACCTGGCTTCCCCCCCTCCACCATCTCTTGTACCCCTGAATTCCTACTAAAGGCAGCTCAATGGTCCTGTTTTGCCTGTGCCCAAATCAACTTTAAACCGTGCCAGAATCTATCACCTCCCAGATTAGTTACTGACTACAGCATTATATTGCCATTATTGGAGAGGGTGGTTCAACACTTAGTTTAGGATATTAAGGACTGTGCTGGTGTGTGGATTCTTAACGCAATGGAATAGTTGGCTTCTCCCAGAACCCTGTCGTGACTGTCACAACCCAAGGAATAATAAATTGCCATCTACAGGAGCACTCTACCTGAACAGATCTGAACAAAAACCGCTGGGAAAATCCCTTCCTTTTCATTCAGTCTTCCTCTATACCACTCCGAATCGACTTGCTCCAGTATTTGGATGTAGTCTCCCTTTTTAAAGGATAAATCGTCTTTGGTTTCTGCTGTAAAATCGTGAAGCGCTTCGCACCACTCTGCCGAGTGCCTGTTGGTCTGTGCAAGTGAACAGAAGAAAAGCATTAATTTTAGAAACGTTAATGGAGCCCATCAGCTGATGGGTACTGGTGAAAGCAGCTGGACAGAGCACGGGTGTCCTGACTTCCTCTCACACAATAGTGTCCCTGCAGATGTAGCCCAGAATGGCATTCCAGCAATTCCCACAGAATTCCCTCTAGGCTCAGGCACATTCCTTTTTAGCATTGGTGGCAGGGGACAGGATTAATAAATTCAAAATTAGACCACCGCAGCAATACTTAAAATAGAGCTAACAAGAATTCACTTAAGCATAAAGGATAAAAACTGAGTTATGTTAATTTGCCAGAAGCTATGAATTCAATCAGTTTAGGCCAACTGTCGGAATTCAAGATGTGCCCGCGCAGCATCGTGTGCTGGGGGAGTTGTGTTACATTCAGGTTTAAAATTGTGCAACTAATCTGACATTATAATAGAAAGTCTGTGTAAATCTACAAAACTACTATGTAAATTCTGCCCCACACCTGAAAAAAATTATTACCTGAGGAAGGGAAGAAGAAACCTCCACCTTGTTCTTCAGTGCCGCTCCTGTGCCGACGTAAGTAAAGGACAACTTAGAGCAGCAATGACTATTCAAAACATTACTAATGACAGAGATTGTAGATATTTAAAGTGATTATCAAGAAAAATTTCTTAAGAAATCCTACTATTCCTTTTGATTTTTCTTATCTGTCTTTTTTCCCTTTCTACCGCCATCCCCCATTCATTGTCCTTGTGGACTTTTCTCCTATGTGCTACTTATCTGCACATAGTACAAAACCACTTTCTGGAAGATTTTTACTAAGATATTCATACCTGTTCCAGGCAGATCTTCAATTATTTCCACAAAGTTCAGGGGGAAAATTCCAGATGCACCTCTGAGCTCTCCTTTGGCCCACTCTTCGTTTACATATTCCTTAAGGGCAATAGTTTCACCTTCTGAAAAACTGAGCTCATCTTTCTGATCTCCAATATATTCAAATCGTGCTACACATCTTGGGCCTCTGCAAAAACAGAAGAGAAACTTACTTTGCTTATTTATTGTTATTGTCCACTTAATAATAAGGCAGCACTGTGCAAAATATGGATCGATACCTTTAATTAAAATGGTGAAAAAATGCACTGAAGATAGAACAGGTGGAAAATTGGGTTCTAGCCCTGGTTCTCATCTCTGCTTTCCAAGGAGGATGAGTATAGAGTCTGAAGGAACCTGATGCAACATCTGCAACCCAATTCCTGGCCATTACAGTATTTTGTGTAAGACTCTGTTTATCTTCCAAACAACAACAAATAAAATATCACTTTATTTTTGGGCTACCTATCCCATTTTATATTTTTGCCCATATCCAAGTAAGTGGCCTGATATACTTTTGTTAAGAGTGTGATTTTTTTTTTGAGCTAACATCCAGTTTAGATGCAGTCAAACGTGGGTGGGAATCTAGTTTTTAATCTATTTTATTCTGTAAAATCTATGCCAGGAATGAGGAAATATCAAAGAAACAAACATCAATGCATCTAATAAATTTTACATAATTTGGCATAATACGGAAAAAACCATATTTTTTTCCTCATTTAAATAGATTCAATAATTTAACTATTAAACTAAATTTAAGAAATTACTCTAAGAAAATTTTTGATTTATCAGAAATACCATCCTAGAAAAAAGTGGCAATAGGCTTTAATTCCTTCCACAGCATCACAGCATACTACCTGTGTTGATTCCCATCCCTGTCCCCCACTCGTATCATTGCAAAAGCTTCAGAACAGAGCTAGCTCTTTCTGTTTCTTTCTTAGCTGCAGAAGCAGCTTTTAAAAATAAAGGTTTGGTTAAGACAAGCCAGGCTCGATCTGAAGAGCAAACTGTGTCATCCCATTGATACGAGTTCCTGCCTCTGCCTGAATTTGCTTTAATGGCTGCAATGAAGGATTATGAAATCCAATAAATCATTGAGTATAAGTGGCAGGAAAAGTAGTTCCTTGCCCACAAACCTTAGTACTAGTTGTTTGCAAATCAGAAATGAAATTGCTTGAAGTACATTTGATAATTTGATCTGGAGAACTTTAGACTCACCTGTATAGTTATATACTTTCAGGTTAGATAGATTCTCTACCTAAACTACAGCTAATATAATATAATATAATATAATATAATATAATATAATATTACAGTCCCATTTTCTCTTGTTCTTTCAACTGAGCAGGAGCCCTGCCATGTTACATCTTAGGAGAATACTGGAAGAAAGTAACAAGGCCAAGAGGAAAGAGAGGAGAGTGCAATGCTGCTGAAGTTAATCACATTGGTTCACAGTTTCTGTAACCAATTTTCGTGACAAATTATGGGAGATGCTCTTCTAATACAGCTCGTGAGAGGAAGGAAAAGTGAGTGAAGTGAAAGTACATGGACCTGTTGGAACAGGTGCAGCAGAGGGCCAGGAATATGATCATAGAGGGCTGGAGCACCTCTGCTGTGAGGACAGGCTGAGAGAGTTGGGGTTGTTCAGCCTGGAGAAGAGAAGGCTCTGGGGAGACCTTATAGCGGCCTTTCAGTACCTGAAGGGGGCCTACAGGAGAGATGGGGAGGGACTCTTTATCAGGGAGTGGAGTGATAGGACAGTTTTAAGCAGGAAGAGGGCATATTAGATCTCAGGAAGAAATTTTTCACTATGAGGGTGGTGAGACACTGGAACAGGTTGCCCCAAGAAGCTGGGGCTGCCCCATCCCTGGACGTGTTCAAGGCCAGGCTGGATGGGGCTTTGAGCAACCTGGTCTGGTGGGAGGTGTCCCTGCCCATGGCAGGGGGTTGGAACTAGGTGATCTTTAAGGTCCTTTCCAACCCAAACCATTCTGTGGTTCTATGAAGGGGAATATATCTACATAAACATTTATTATAAAGTGATTACCAATTTTTTGAACCCAAGAAGTGAGTTTTCAGGCTTTTTTTTACTTGAATAAGTCTTATTAAAAGATAAAATTTCCCTTTTGAAATCTTAATTTTTAAAATATATTTTGGTGAAGAAACTGTTAACCATACTAACTGCAGCACAGATAACACCTGCTTCAAAGTTATCTTTCCTTTTACTTGCTACTAAATCAAGATGAAAAAGAAAATAAGATTTATGTGACTCACTTGATACATTGCGATGAACAAGGTATTTTTTTTCTGTTGCCTTCTTCTGGAACATCAATCTAATAAGACAAGAAAATAAATGAAATCTTCCATTTCAAGCTTATGGCAACATAAATACAATAAACTTGGACCTGGTTAAAATAATCTATTTTTCAGCTAAGCATTATCTCCAGTTATGACCTCCATGTGATGCTCTATAGTCACCAGAATGCTGATATATGACCATATTAATGTAGATTTCAGTTTTGTATGCCTGACTTTTCTACCTCATGTAAACAAGGAGCACTATTTAATGTTTTCTTTTACAAAGCTGGTTTAGTGTTTCTACTCCTGGCATGACTGACTGACAGAATATGGGACTGGATGCTACTACATGTTGTTCCGTTTAGCTCCCAACTTTCAATTGGTAATTGCTCTCTATTATTTACTAGCACAATATATCACAATAGACAAAATTACTGTTTACACATCTCCTTTCTGGGCTTTGGTAGCCAGCTGTCCTCCAAACAAAAACACGTCTCACAAATCTCACTGGAATTGGAGAAACATAATTTAGAAAATCAATACAGAGTTACATTAACCAGACAGCATTCAAGTCTTTTATCATAAGAGGATTTCAATTGTATTTTTGGTGTGACGTGAAGGATGATCTGTCAGATGTACAAGACTACAAGCCTAGAGACCCTGGTGAGGAGCTTTGGGTTACAGCTCACTATCGCACGAGCCAGCTCCCATAAAAAGAGTTTCATTAGTGTATGTGAAGGACTGGAGCAAATCATGCTGCCTTTGAGGACAAATGATCTTTGCAGTGCTCTTGCTAGAGGAGCTGGCATCTGTGTTCTGAAGGTTCTTCAGAAGGTTCCCCTAGTATCGTTAGGTGTCCAGACATCAAGCTACTACCCAGCTTAATATTGTAAAACACACTACAGCATATTCTATAGAGACCTTCTATCAAGATCTAATCTGACATGAATGAACAACAGAATTCACTCAGTAAATTAGCATCATCTATTACACTCTTTTCCTTTTTCTTTTTTATTTTTAATTTTGGTGAAACAAAAGATCTTCGCACTCACAAGGGTAACCACCTTTTACAACTAATAGAAATTTTAAAAGCATCTTCCCTAGCTCTCATCAAGTTGTATCTGTCTCTATCAATGCTGAATTTGATCCCAAATATTCATTCCACAGCCTCCAACATAAAATCTTTTCTCTATTGGCCATCAGTAGCAACAAGAACTTTTAAATCAAAATTCTGGTCTGTGTAGGAGCAGCTAATCAATTTAGCTAATAAATCCTTCTCACGAAAGCGAGTTGAGCATGGTTTCATTACTACTAACCCTGTGTCTAGATTTTATTCTTCAGCACTTCTGAAATCTTAATATTTTTTTTCCAGCAATGCTATTACAAACTAAATAGACACCCTCTGATGGTTACCAAATAACTTGGTATTGTCCACGTAGCAGCAGTGCTTATCTCTGCCAGCTGTCCCAGCTCAACACAGAGAGTCACACACCTTCACTGCATCCTGGTGGCAGTTCAGCATTCCTCCATGGCCATATGGCTGGTGTGGACAGCCCCATGGCCATTCCTACTGCCACAAAATGGACTTCCATCTTGGACTCGGGCTTGCGACCGATTTGACCCAGCTTTTGATGCCGTGAACCACACTGTCTCTCCTTTAGAAATGAGGCACTCCATTAATTGCTGCTGGGCTCCACAACAGCACCTGTCTCTTTGCCTGCTGCTCAGTGTCAAGTGTCACATTCAGTAACGGGATTGCTTTAAGCTGCTCATTTGCAACAACACCATCTCCTTGCACTGTGCCAGCACCACCATTTGTGCAGCCACTTAGCAAGCCACTTAGGCAAATTGATCCAGCTGTAAAAAGCATATTCTGGGAAGAAAAAAACCCACCATTTTGTTGGGCCCAACTGCTGCTCTGACCTAGGTCACTACATGGCTACAGAAGTGGTGATTCCAGCCCAGTTCAAGGGACAAGAACAGGAGAGGAGCTGGGGGGTGGGAGGGAGGCACAAAAAGCAATCATCTTACTGAGTGTAGGTTCTTACACGCGGCTGTGAAAAACAATCTGCTCTGTAGACCCTAAGAAACTACCCAGGTTAACAAAGAGAAGCTGGTAAGGGCCACAATTTTCTCACTTGGCTTGAAATTAACAGCAAAATAATCCCCATAACACAAACTGGTAGTGCCAAATCAGGCATCTTTCTAATACCATACCAACAAGTTGATGTGTATTCTGTGTTGCCAGAGGGAAAAGAGACTATCTATCTAAAGACAGACTGCAGTTAAACACACAGGAGCTATAGTAAAATAGAAGCAGAAAACCAACACGATAGGATATTATGTAGTAACGTATACGAAGCCTACGTACAACTACTTTAACAAAGCTGGCAGGGAATATCCCTGTGCGATTCCCACATTTTCCTCTGTACCACTCAGGATCGATTCTCTCCAAGAGACAAACGATTTCTCCAGAATGAAGGTCCAAGTCATCAGCATGCTCTGTAAGACACCATCATTTCAGTTAATGGTAGTTGTCACACTCACTGATTTTCTCTGAGTAAAACCTCCTTAATATAAATACCACAGACAAAAGCAGAATGAGTTTTCAAAAAGTTTTAATTACATTTGATAAACGAGTTTGCTTTAACTAAAAGACTGGCCCGGCTATAGCTAAACTCATGGATTTGAACAATTCTACATGCAGAATTTGCAGGCTGAACTTTCTCATAATTTTTAAGCTCTAATTCCTAAGAAAATTCTCATTTGAAAGTCCTGGAGTAAAACAAGCTTCCAGAATATTCACATTCACTTACCTGCAGGAAAATCATGCAGGACTACAGCATGAGGTGCGCTTGTGTCAGGACCTTTTGGCGGGCGGTTTGAATCCTGACAACAACAAATAAATACAAATAGTTTATAAATCATGGAAGGTAGTAAGATTCTCTGTTATGTACTCTGAAAGTAGTTTTCTGACTTTGGACACCATGTTGTTCTGGTATCAGAGAATCACCTTTGGAGGCAAGAGTTAGTATTGGTCACACACCATGGGTCTGAATTTCGCCAGTGTAAACCAGAATGCATTTCCCCCAAAAGCTACTTGTGAGCCAGTAAAAGGAAGGGAAGGCGTGTAACTTTTCCCAGTGTAGGCAAAGCCTCAGCTGTCTCTGTGGGTCAGAAATCTGGAGCAATCCTCATTGCAAGAGCTGTGGCCAAATTTTGCACTGTTGCTCAGTTCTGCGAGCTGCCAGTAGTTACTCTTCCTTGCTCGGAGAGAAGACCCCAGCCCAAATCTCTGCAGCACACACAGCAGGGGCAGCACATCTACCGAGCATTTCAGAGGGGGGAGAGAGCCCCCAGGCCTTTGCTTACAGGAAAATAACGCTATAGGGGAAACGACAATTTTGTTGTGGGGTCTTCATAAAGGGAAATTATATTCAAATTGCTAAGCTTTCCTCTCTATCCCACCCACTAGGAATTTTTAGACTGTACAACTGATGACAATCGCTTTGCGTGAATTACATTCCAAGTAATTCATTGCACACAAAAAGCCCAACCTAAAAAGCCCAACATGGACAAAGATAAGGCCAGAATAATATGAATTACAACAACAGATAACAATAGATTGCATAGAAACCTATTTCAGCTATGGAGGTTTCTGATAATAATCAAAAAGGCTGCTCATAGCTATCATTTATACTAGCTATTTAATATTAATACGATCATGCCCTAAAAACAGGTTGGGTCTGTAGAAGCCGAGAGGGGAAAACGCTTTGAAGTCTGTATGTCAGAGCCAATTCGCTGATCTGTCATGTACAGCACTTCATAAAATGACTCGTTTATCTTTTACCCACTTTTCAGATACTCAGCCAAGGGAGTGATTATCTTCCTATGAGACAGAGGAACTCTACCAGTTTCCTCTCCCTTCTGGCACTCCAAGTAATTACTGTTGCTCTGCTCCAGGAGCAGAATGTCCCTGTGCTATAAGGCAAATCACCATTATTGGGTTTTGGTTTGGCGGTTGTTTAGTTTTTATTAAAGAAACATAAGGATTTAATAAACCACTATTATGTTTCTCAGTGTAACCTTTAAAACCCAAAGCACTTGATACTTTAATGCAACAAGAGTCTTGCTCACTAAATATTCATCAGCAGAAAAAAATGCCTTACCTTACAGGACAGTTCTCTAGAGTTCCTGGGAAGACAGTCTTCCTTGGCAGCTCCGTGAGGCACAGGTAGCTTGAACAGAAATAGGAATAGAAGAATTTGTTTCACTTCTAAGCACCTGAATTCCCACTGCAAGTGAAAATGGTCAGACGATGGAACTATTCAAACCACCTACTACAGGCAGCTGATTTAGGAGTCCACTGGAACAGGACAAGCTCCTTTGGAAGGCATCAGGACTGCTGATGATATGATCTGTCACTTCAAGAAACCCAGGTGTTGTCATCCACTTTAAAAGTGTCTTAGCCCCCCTAACTGGTATCATACCATACGGTACATGATGTTCAGCAACACATGGACACAGAAATGTATTCATTTGTCATGAAGGGCACTACAAAAACAACCTGGCAGGAAAATTTCATTGACAGTAACACTTGAGGGCAGAGAATTACTACGGGTCTGCTACTGAAAAACAAACTCATTTACAAAACACGTCACAAGTTTCTTGTGTAAACAGGTGTGGCTACATCAGAGAGGAAGCAACATGCTTCCCTTATCCCAAAGCTATTCCTGCTATCAACAGATCTTTCTCTCTCTTTCTTGCTCCTCTGCTCCACCAAGGATCTAAATGCAATAGTGAAGATCAGAGAGAAGGCAACAGAAAGCTTCCACTTCATGCTGAATGTTGATGCTGTGCATGCTACAGTTGTGTGGGTGCTTGTTTTGACAACAGCACTGGCTCAAGCAGTCACCAGCTCTGATCACTGACCAGTTTCAAGTATCTGGAGAAAGACTCTCCTTTTTATCTGTAATGTTGTTCCATTTATAGTTGATAAGCCCTAACAACACATGCAATACCAAAAAGAAACATTTTTATAATGAAGAGGGATGGCATCAGTAGGATGACAGTGTAAGGTAAGTGGTGTTACATTCCTCACGCTTCGCAGGCTTGATTAAGAAAGGTAAACTATCTTTTAAGTACTAATGCCGCCCAATGTTTTAGGCATTTTTGACATATATAGGGAAAAACAATATACAAACGTAATTATTTAGCATCATTTTATGTGCTGTAATAGAATTCAGAGCTGGTGACTGTAAACTCCCCAAACCCAAAAGCTATGCATTAAAGATATATATATATAAAAATTACATATACACACTAAAATACACACACATCTCCTCCCCAAACCCAAAAGCTATGCATTAAAGACATATATATATAAAAAAATTACATATATACACAAAAATACACGCACATCTATACTTTGCATGTGTATATTGCTTTCTCCAGTATTACCTTACACTATCTATTAGTATTTTCTAAGGAAGATTATGCTGACTGATGTACTTTGAAAGCCACATCACAGTAACCTACCTTACTGCCTTTTTCTCTACTATTTTAACCAGCACTGTTTTATAAACAGACATTCTAAGGAAGATTATGCTGACTGATGTACTCTGAAAGCCACATCATAGTAACCTACCTTACTGCCTTTTCCCTACTATTTTAACCAGCACTGTTTTATACACAGACGGTCTCAGATATTCTATCTCAACTCTCACCATGTATTTATTGTAGAGAGGATGACCTGGTTTAGGTCTAGGAGGTAATGCTGGATCTGGATTTTTGAAGAATTGACTTTTTGCTCTCTTGGGTCCCAATCTGAACTTGCTGGGTTTTTTATCAAGAGCGATGTTAGAAGTAGATCGTGAAAGAGCATCCTTCTGGAAGGAGGTCTTGGCTGCAGAGAGTTTTGGTGGAGGTGGCCTTCCAGGAGCACCTTTAGGTGGGGGAGGTCGAGCAGGTACAATTTTTCCATCCACAGGCCTAAACATTGGGCAAACCATCAGAGAAATACGCATATTAATAAGCCCGTTGCCTCAACCTCCACCACAGCCTTAGCTACAGAGTATGCAATAAGGAAACGTGACTCACGATGACCTGGGCTGTAACGTGTAGTATCTGAAGCTCTCTGAGAATACATAAGCTCTTCAGACACTGGGACGGGATGATCAAGTCCTTAGACAGATCCTTTGACTACACATTTCCAAGTCTGCTCACAGTTATGAGCAGCCTGCCAGCCTTCTCAGGGGCCTGCTGCATAAGCAGGATTTTTCAGCAATCCACCTTTAGAAAGAGCTTTGTCTGAAGCTGCCTCAGACAGAGTTCTTCCAGTGAGAGAGAGAGCTTTAGTGAAAGCCCTTGGATCTAGCTGCTCTTCAGGAATCAGCCTAGTTCATTCCCTGGGTCGTCACTTCCCTGAAGTGACTTTTAGGCCTCTGCTGAAACTCCTGACATCACTTTGCACCACGGCATCAATATCAGAATTTACCATTTTTATGCAACAGATGTCTGCTGCAGAAATAAAGCACCAGGGAAAATACTTGAGTTTTGTGGCAATGCCGGAGGCACCACACTCGCATTAGTGTACCAGTAGTTTAGAAACCAAAATCGAAGACAAGTAAGTACAGTGGTAATTTAAAAAAAAAAAAAATAATCTAAAAAATCCCCTTTACTAAGCATTGGTAAAAAAAGCTGCCTATACGCTACAAATGAGCCATGCTTTTCAGAATCAAAGAGTGTGGCCAAATCAATAATTTGCTTATTAAAAATCACCACTATTATAAACAAGCATTATGTACATAAAACTTTGGCTTCCTATTATTAAGAACCCTGGCAGTACTACTATTCAAAAATACAATATTGTTTTATTTTTATCGGGAAATCTTTGGCCAGTTACTGCAAGTTCCTGCTACAATTGTCTCTCTCTTTTCATACAGTGTAATTCAGCATGACTATTTGCTTGCATGAATTCCTCAAGGGACTTCAAAAATTATCTACCACAACAAATGTGCATTAGTGGATCTTTGGAGTATCCTTCTGACATATTTTGTGAGTGTCATCCACCACTTGAGACGATATTAGTACTCTACTAATGCTCCTACAAGAGTTCTCTATTACTATAGATTATTTTTAAATTAAAAATAATATTCTGTTCAACTTCTGCCTCTCCCCTTTCTTGGCCTCATTCTAAACTAAGCATTTTTAATATTGAAAAAGGGGAAAGACTGCATTAAATCTGGAAACAAACCAACCCATATGTTTGTAAGGCAACTCAACTAAATAAGAAAACCCTAACAAGCAAATCAGAGAATTATTACGGCTTACTTAAAAAAAAAAAAAAAAACCTTAAAAAATCCATTTCAGGAGAAGAATGAAAGGAAAAATGTTTAGTGCAGTTCCAGAGAGCCTTGGGAGAATTAGGAATGCTGTTATGCTAAACAGAATGGGGGAAAGTAGTAAGGGGCAATAATGAGGTGTTTTCTTGGGGGTAAAGCCACATTCTTTCCTGTTAATAAATATTATTATTGGTAGACTAAGTTTAATAACTGACAGATTCTCTTGTCCTGACACAACAGAGCAAACTTTTTGTGTTTAAACCCAGAGATTTAGAGCACAGATACTGTGACAGCCGCAGCAGGCTAGCCAGCCAATGCCTTATGTCCTTCCAGTTTGTCTCTGGCACCTAGTGGACCTGAATTTAAGGCTGGTCCAGCTACTTTTGCCTCTGCAGACCTTTCATGCTGGGTCAAAAGAATAAAAAACCCAAGGTTATCATTGATTCTGCACCTTCACAGGCGTTTTAGGTCTGAAGTGAACTGTACAAAGTAGCCAGTCCTTCTGGGAAGGTGCCAGCCCAGTATCTGCCTTTTCCAGGGTGGCAGCATCTGCCACCTCCATTCCTTCGCCACTCAAACCCAGCCACAAGTGCAAGTGCTGTTGATCAAAAGGTCAGCAACATGCAGGAGGGGATGTTCTACGTTCAGCTGTGGGTGGAAAGGTTAAAGATGCAGAGAGGAATGACTGTACATTAGCTGAAGAGTCAAACAGCTGTCCTTCTCTAATCTCCCTGCTCATACCAATAACGTATAAACAAGTATTAATCAGCTAGCAACTTGGTCCTGCCTATTTATTAGCGAGCATACTGCCTACCCAAGCCTACTGAGTTAGGACTAGAGTTGGTAGTGTCTACATTGAGACTAATTAGGCAAACTAACTCAGAAACACCACTTTTAAGTGAGTCACTGAAGAACTGCACTTACCTTGGGGGTAGTACAGCTGGTTCTAGCTGAGGCACTCCACCCTGTTCCGAATGATCCAACTCCTACAAAGAGTCAGAAGAAAAAAAAGCCATTTATTTAAGCTCAAGAAACAAAAATTATCTTGTTTAAATGATGCATTTCTAATATTAAATTATATCCTACAGACAGGAAACGCAATAGTTTCTGGAAGTCTGGAATAAAGTAATAAATATTGTGGTGTGCTCTAGCATTTTAGTCTTGCTGGGCACAGAGGGAGAGGTAAATAACCTGGCCAACTACCTGAATTGTAGCTAAAATTGTGCATTAGGTATGACCCAGCCCTCTTTTCTTACTACGTGGCAGGATTCCAGCTGCTGCAGTTACATTATGAATTTTGGTTTAACTTTGAGAGATGAAACACTTTGAACAGGCTTAAAGCATAAAACGTGATATTGATGCAACTCAACACAGGACAGGGTCTCTTGCAAATAACATTAGCCTCCCTTAAAGAAGGTATCTACGTGTGTTTCCTAGAGATCTAACAGAAAAGCCCTGGTGAATCTTGCTTTGGCAGGTTAAGGCACCGCTCCTCCCAGCTGCCCATCCTGACCCTGCCAAAGATTGCTGCCCTGGAGCAGAATCAGCAGAGGGGAACACGTGCCATGTCTGAAGGGTTTGGACCACAGTAATGGATTCACAAGTTACCATCTTTTCTGCCTCCTGCTGTTTGTTTTCATCCCAGTGCCAGAGGGTATGGCCAAGTCTGCCCAACAAGCAGAGCTGCTTGTGGAACAGCATGGTACACCACAGTCCTCAATCTGCGTTCCGAAGCGTTCTTTTTCAACCAGTAATTTTAAGTAGGTCTGAACAGCCTTGTTTACTTAATTAGAAATACATTTGTTTACCAGTTTCAAGCACTTTATGTGATTTTTCCCACCAAGAAAATACCTAGATGTATTTTGTGACAACATTTTGACCTCTGATTAAGTCCCCAAATGAATGTTCCTGATAAAATGATCCTGATTAGAAAGAAAAGAACCTGCCATTTTCAGATGGGGATGTTGCCATCATACCAAAAATTTTCCTTTTCTGTGTGAAAAGGAAAAAAATCTGTGTCAATTGCTGCTTATGGTCAACTTTTTTTACCATTGCTGGTTAATCACTTCCACTGACAAGCAACACTAGTTTTAGAATCACAGAAGTTCTTATCTTTCCAAAGATAAGATTTAAATGTCTCAGTAGATTTGATGCAGCCTTTTTCTTAAAAAAATCCTCCGAAGCTTACACATGCCTGTCACAATAACCTCGATGACATTGTAGAAGTTTTGTTTTATTTAATGTCTTGTATGGAAATTATTTTTTCAACATTATCCAGAAAAGATGACACCTCTCTGAATAGCCTCTTCAATCATAACGTTTAAAACCCTTTTATCCTATTAGCAGAGGTAGACACAAAGTCATTTGGTGGCAGCTTTCCATCCAGTGAGGGCTTTTGATTTGATCTTTTTGCTGCCTGTGGTTTCCACAAGATTCTCTGCCATTCTTGCCTTCACAGCACTAAATATTTGGACATTCTACTATCATTTTCTAGTTTACTTTAATTCCCTTTTGTAAATCTGTGTCAAAGGGCATACAGGACACACAGCTAAAATGTCTTCCCTTAGTATTTGCTCAGGAGGGAGGAGCAGAGCCCTACTTTCCAAAATAGATGGTTTTACTCAGGCTCTAACAGGACCAGAAGAAAAAAAAAAAATTAGAAGGAAAGAGCTGAAGAAAGCAGGCTTCATTCATCTACAGAAAAATTTCCTCTGCCTGGTAATTAGCACAGAAACGAAGAGGTACTGTGTGTATGAAGGTAAACAAGTACATTTCTAAAGGACTTCAACAATATTTCACTATGTAAATCTCACTGGACTTTGAACCACTTTGCAGTGCTTTTGAAACTAAATTGTAGAATATCCTGATTCCAGCTGCTAAATACAGAAAATGTGATCAAAGTTTACTAAAATCAACAAAGTGCTTTTCAGAACTGACAGCAGTCTAAATTACCTAATTAAATTAGAGGACGCAATTAAAAGAAAAAAGCCTTATATTTTTAAGTAGTCCTTTTCATCCTTTGGTTCTTCAAATAACTTACCATACAAATGTTTGAGAGTCACAAGAGATCTGTCAACCCAAGCAGACAAAGTTTTAACACAGGAAAAGGGTTCTAACTTACCACTTTTTTTACTAGGTCAGTACTGTTGGGTTTTCCCAGCGTGGTATCAGCGGTGTTCCCAATGGGCTTCTCAGCAGGAAGTGGTGGAGGGCTGTGTGGGATTTCATTTAAAGCTAGGAAAAAGCAAAAGTTCCTGAATGAAAGTCTAATTAATAGCTTCTCTACATAGACCAACAATCAGTAAGGGAATCCACCTTGGTTTGGGGCGGTTTTTTTGTGAATGCAACTTCTTTCCTCAAAGCCAGAGCAGCCAATGGGCAGGACCACTTAAAGACCAGTGAAGAGAAAAGGAGCGTGAAGGGGACAGGGATGTGAAGGGAACATTGCAACTCGGAGGTTGACTTTAGGAATACTTCCCATCCTCCATAATGGATCTTCACTTTACTCTCAGGACACCAGCAAGTTATTCTAGGGTTTCAGGGTTTCAGCTGCAATACTTGTTGATATAATATTAGATGAGTAGAAGAGTTTCTACCCTTGGGAATGTCAGACTCATTACTGGATACCCTGAAACACCATCACCATTTCTCAGCCACATTTCTAAACTGGCTCACTTTTTTCAGCTGTCAGCTCCTGGAATATCCTTCAGGCTGGAAAACAGCTGAGGGTTATTTCAAGTAACCCTGAAAGATCAGGAGACTTGGATGGAAGAATCTCCAGAAAGGTAAAGGCAAGAAAAGAAACCATTCCCTGCTACAAAATTCAGGGTGACAGAAAGAAAAGAGAGATGGAAGGTCCCTAGTAGATTAAAGGAGCTAGGCAAATTTAGGACATGGAAGAGGAAACAGTACAGCTTTTACTAGGGAAGAGTGGTGATTTCCTCAGTCTCAAAAAGAACACAAAAACCTGCTAATTATATGATATTTGCTTTCAATGTCCCTGCCATTGACACCTGGGAAGCACTTGGACAGTTTTTGCCAACATATTTACCAATCATTTTGTTTTTATATACTGGAACCTTGCCATCTATTTTACAATGCATTTGCATATCAAGAAAATTCATTTCATACAAAGAACTTCAGACACTTCAGCTCTTCTGACTTCCAGACAGTCTTGGAGTTACGTAAAAATACGTGTAGGCAGCCTGGATATTTATAGACTGATGACAAAAAAGAGGAGAGATTCTATCCAAAAGAAAACTTTCAGTTGCTCTTTTCATTAAAAGTAGTCTCAACAATGAAACAACACGTAGGAAGTTGTTTGTTTTTAACACCTCTGTTGCATTACTATGATCTAAAACACTGATGTGTGATGTTTAAAAATGGATCAGTTCAAGGACAAATCCCTTACTCTTAGGAGTAGTTCACAGGCACCATGTTGGCAGTGACCAAACATGGCAAAAATTTCACTGAATTTCACTGAATTTTTAGAGTTGGAAGGGACCAGGTAGTGAAAGGTAAGGTAGTGAAATTCATCACTCTTCTAACCTAGTATGATGGATGAAAAGTAAAACAAATACCTGACAGTAATTGCAAAAGAAATCTTCTCTTATCATACTTTACTGATGAAAAGCGTAAGAGATGTATTTATTCACACCACTTCAAATCTTGATATATACACAGATGGCCCAATTTCCTTGTCTTTACTCTTTATAAGACCAAAATTAAAGGAAATGATGAAAAAAAAGCAACCCAAGAACTAGAAGGCAGGTGGTGTTTGCAGTGATTTCAAAGTGTAATAACTGAAGTGGAAGTTTAATGCTTCCTTTCTAATCACATCTCAGCAAAAATGCTAATATAAATGAGTGCTTTACTGGAGTTCAAATTCTTAAGCATCCAGCTCTGTCCCCTTTTTGGTAGAGGTGTGGGGTATCTTTTGTTCTAGCGGGGTTTTTCTTTTTGATTTGGGCTGGTTCCTTACAGAATTAATCTCTCTTCCTACCTATGATGGTGAAAGACCCCTTCTACTGAGATTATGTGGCCCTCTTACAAGGTAAATCCTACTACAGCCATAGCATACCTTGGCCCAGTTGTACTTTTCTCATTTTTTAACTTTTAACACCTTATATTTCTGCAGCAGCTCCTACGTCACAAAAGGCTACTCTGCTTTCTTGGAACCTGCTTCTGTTCCTCCACATCCCATCAATCTTCCAGCCACAGCCTCCTATAAAGCAGTCCTTCACACCCCTCTGACAATTGTAGCTCAGTACAGTATGACCAGCAGTCTCCTGTGGAAAGTTCAATTACCACTAGAGAGCAGCAAGGGACCAGTTTTCTACAAGTTCAAAACAGAACCCAGCTCAGGAAAAAAAAAAAAAAAAAAAA